AACTGTACTCCTGAAGGGACTACTTTGTTTGCTCTCGGACCTCATTTGCATATGGGTTGTGGAAATACCGATTTTGATTTCAGGGACGAATCAAAATAAACTGCAGTACATATGTAATAATTGGTATTACTTGTATAACGCACTCTTCCTTTCTCTTGACCCCCTGTAATCCTATTTTGCGCGCGGTATGTTAACCCCATATTCCGAATTTGGATGATAGTGAGCGTGTCTTGAACGTCGTGCGCTATGAAAGGCACTAGTTTTTGACACTTTTTATCGGAATAGTATGGTGGTCGAAATATGTGATATCTGTATCCTTTCCAGCTGTGTGGCTGTATAAATATATCACTAACTATTACATTACATTTAGACGGACCTTTTCGTTTCATCGAAAGACCATTTCAATCGCTCCCGTATGTTGCATCACGAATTAATAACAATAACATTGTATATATTGATGAACTGTTGGCTGAAATTAAAAGTGTGTCTCATGCAGGATGAGTGGGTTCAATACTTCACACCAGTTTTTGACTGCGACAGAAAGTGTGTCTTATTGTATTGTTCGAAAACAGTCTTTGTTAAATAAATGATACCCATGTGTGCGTGAATTGACGCTCGAATCATGGATGAGTCGATTAGTTAATTGTACTGAGGTGTCAAATATATTTGTGGAGAACACTTATAAATATAAATAAGTTTGGTATTTTAAAATTTAGTCAGAATGCCCTGCATGACTCTCCATTCCTTTGCATATTAAGACTTACATAATGGTCAAAATAAGAATATAATAAAAACAATGTTAAATACTATGAGGTTATTATGAAGATACCTCAAAGTATGTACGAATACAGAACAGCGGACACACAGAACAGAGTATCGACCGACGCGCAGCGTAGTGTCTGGGTGCATACTTTGAGGCATCTTCGTAATGACATTATTATTATACATATTTTCTTTAAATGATGCATCATGAGAATGCCGAGATCCAACAAGTTTAGAAACGAATCAGCGAACTGCTTTATGTGTGGACCATGTTTGTTTTTGCTTCCGCGCGTAATCATTCCATATTTGGAAATCTCATTAACTTATGAAAATACCCTGTAAAATACCGCAAAAGTATGACAGGCTGTAACTTATGGCGTTACGGTGACAGATATATATTATTATCATTTATCAAACGATAAAAGAATATTACTGCAAAACACGTGAACACGCTACACGAATAGGCTTGAATATGATGGACCTCAGTCTATATTTAAATACCGTGTGCAACTTACACAGCGTGACACAACTTTTTCTAGTAATAACACGGTATCAGCTCACAGTAATAACAGAACTCCAACACATTGGTCCCACATCCATGGCTGCGATGAGCCGATTCACCCACTCACTTATCACAAATCTATGCTTATGTCATAGAGTGTAGTCACGCTATATTGTACCACACTACATAAACACCAACACGATCATATCGGCCACTGTTACGTACATCGAGATATCCTCGGGGGCGGACATCCGGGCATTTTCACCGCCTGGCAACCCGCGGCGGTGAAAACAAAGGCCCAAAACTCGCATAAAACGGTACTTTTGGATGATTGTTGAGACTCCTCTGAACAGTGTAACAAAATTAGCTCTACGTGTGTAACATATACAAATTTGGTTGTTCGCGATTACTTTAAAGTCGAGTTTGTGTTGTTTTCTCGAATGTTCACCGGCTCGACCAGTGTTCCACAGCAGCGCACACAGAGCCCATAGAAATGCATGGTACAGTGGTGCGCGTCTTAGCAACGTGGAACGTCTGTGACGTAGTTCCGCCCCCGAGGATAAATAAAATGTGTTTCTAATATCGGAACTTATGGGAATATTTCCAGCAAATGAATGAGGGACCGTAAGTAAAGAAGGAACAGTCGAGGCAAATAGCCAAGATTTCTGACAAGACATATATAACGTATAAATAAAACGAAAAAATGTTACTTAGTACTACTATGAAATGTCATATATGCCATCTTTGGTTCTCTGGCCCGTGAATATTCGTTAGTTCCAATGTATCCGATATAGCGAATGTTTTCTGAGTTTATTAAACGCCCTCTACGTGGAGATTCGGTCTTAATAACCGTTCGACTATATGTTTCGGTCTCTGGCGCTTGAAATGACATTCATATTCATACACTACACTTTGGTTCGTGTACTGTGAATATTCAATAGCTTCATTATATCAAATATATGAGATAGACCAAATGCATTTATATTTAGAAGTCATAAGAACACGAAGTACGTGAAGCATGTGCGGAAAAGACGCCCTATGTGTGTCAATCAAGTGAATAATCTCGGGGTAGTCTCGGTCGACGAAACGTCCGATTTCGGATTCGGGTTTTTCCTTTCGATCTCTGGTATATAAAACAACACTCGATGTATCAGATATATAGTCGGGTTAATAAATATCCCCTATAATGCCACAAATATATCATTAATAT